CATCATCACAGCATAGAAATAATATAGAACAGTTTGAACAGGAGAACATAGAGAGGCATCATCACAGCATAGAAATAACATAGAACAGTTTGAACAGGAGAACATAGAGAGGCATCATCACAGCATAGAAATAATATAGAACAGTTTGAACAGGAGAACATAGAGAGGCATCATCACAGCATAGAAATAATATAGAACAGTTTGAACAGGAGAACATAGAGAGGCATCATCACAGCATAGAAATAATATAGAACAGTTTGAACAGGAGAACATAGAGAGGCATCATCACAGCATAGAAATAATATAGAACAGTTTGAACAGGAGAACATAGAGAGGCATCATCACAGCATAGAAATAACATAGAACAGTTTGAACAGAAGAACATAGAGAGGCATCATCACAGCATAGAAATAATATAGAACAGTTTGAACAGGAGAACATAGAGAGGCATCATCACAGCATAGAAATAACATAGAACAGTTTGAACAGGAGAACATAGAGAGGCATCATCACAGCATAGAAATAACATAGAACAGTTTGAACAGGAGAACATAGAGAGGCATCATCACAGCATAGAAATAACATAGAACAGTTTGAACAGGAGAACATAGAGAGGCATCATCACAGCATAGAAATAACATAGAACAGTTTGAACAGGAGAACATAGAGAGGCATCATCACAGCATAGAAATAACATAGAACAGTTTGAACAGGAGAACATAGAGAGGCATCATCACAGCATAGAAATAATATAGAACAGTTTGAACAGGAGAACATAGAGAGGCATCATCACAGCATAGAAATAACATAGAACAGTTTGAACAGGAGAACATAGAGAGGCATCATCACAGCATAGAAATAACATAGAACAGTTTGAACAGGAGAACATAGAGAGGCATCATCACAGCATAGAAATAACATAGAACAGTTTGAACAGGAGAACATAGAGAGGCATCATCACAGCATAGAAATAACATAGAACAGTTTGAACAGAAGAACATAGAGAGGCATCATCACAGCATAGAAATAACATAGAACAGTTTGAACAGGAGAACATAGAGAGGCATCATCACAGCATAGAAATAACATAGAACAGTTTGAACAGGAGAACATAGAGAGGCATCATCACAGCATAGAAATAATATAGAACAGTTTGAACAGAAGAACATAGAGAGGCATCATCACAGCATAGAAATAATATAGAACAGTTTGAACAGGAGAACATAGAGAGGCATCATCACAGCATAGAAATAATATAGAACAGTTTGAACAGAAGAACATAGAGAGGCATCATCACAGCATAGAAATAACATAGAACAGTTTGAACAGGAGAACATAGAGAGGCATCATCACAGCATAGAAATAATATAGAACAGTTTGAACAGGAGAACATAGAGAGGCATCATCACAGCATAGAAATAATATAGAACAGTTTGAACAGGAGAACATAGAGAGGCATCATCACAGCATAGAAATAATATAGAACAGTTTGAACAGAGAACATAGAGAGGCATCATCACAGCATAGAAATAACATAGAACAGTTTGAACAGAAGAACATAGAGAGGCATCATCACAGCATAGAAATAATATAGAACAGTTTGAACAGGAGAACATAGAGAGGCATCATCACAGCATAGAAATAATATAGAACAGTTTGAACAGGAGAACATAGAGAGGCATCATCACAGCATAGAAATAACATAGAACAGTTTGAACAGGAGAACATAGAGAGGCATCATCACAGCATAGAAATAATATAGAACAGTTTGAACAGGAGAACATAGAGAGGCATCATCACAGCATAGAAATAACATAGAACAGTTTGAACAGAAGAACATAGAGAGGCATCATCACAGCATAGAAATAACATAGAACAGTTTGAACAGGAGAACATAGAGAGGCATCATCACAGCATAGAAATAACATAGAACAGTTTGAACAGGAGAACATAGAGAGGCATCATCACAGCATAGAAATAACATAGAACAGTTTGAACAGAAGAACATAGAGAGGCATCATCACAGCATAGAAATAACATAGAACAGTTTGAACAGAAGAACATAGAGAGGCATCATCACAGCATAGAAATAACATAGAACAGTTTGAACAGGAGAACATAGAGAGGCATCATCACAGCATAGAAATAACATAGAACAGTTTGAACAGGAGAACATAGAGAGGCATCATCACAGCATAGAAATAACATAGAACAGTTTGAACAGGAGAACATAGAGAGGCATCATCACAGCATAGAAATAACATAGAACAGTTTGAACAGGAGAACATAGAGAGGCATCATCACAGCATAGAAATAATATAGAACAGTTTGAACAGGAGAACATAGAGAGGCATCATCACAGCATAGAAATAACATAGAACAGTTTGAACAGAAGAACATAGAGAGGCATCATCACAGCATAGAAATAACATAGAACAGTTTGAACAGAAGAACATAGAGAGGCATCATCACAGCATAGAAATAACATAGAACAGTTTGAACAGGAGAACATAGAGAGGCATCATCACAGCATAGAAATAATATAGAACAGTTTGAACAGGAGAACATAGAGAGGCATCATCACAGCATAGAAATAATATAGAACAGTTTGAACAGGAGAACATAGAGAGGCATCATCACAGCATAGAAATAATATAGAACAGTTTGAACAGGAGAACATAGAGAGGCATCATCACAGCATAGAAATAACATAGAACAGTTTGAACAGAAGAACATAGAGAGGCATCATCACAGCATAGAAATAACATAGAACAGTTTGAACAGAAGAACATAGAGAGGCATCATCACAGCATAGAAATAATATAGAACAGTTTGAACAGGAGAACATAGAGAGGCATCATCACAGCATAGAAATAATATAGAACAGTTTGAACAGGAGAACATAGAGAGGCATCATCACAGCATAGAAATAACATAGAACAGTTTGAACAGGAGAACATAGAAGTAGAATAGAACATGAATAAAGTAAAGTCTGCTGATGATAATCTACCAATTTTTATTTATCATTTTACATCGAGCTGAGAGGCAACAGGGTTGAGTGAAAAGGAGGCAGACAAACAGCAAAGGTCAGCAGGTCAACAGAAACGCTAATGACTCCTGGGTCATATGCTTACCGCCTGCCACCCCCTAATCCGCTGCTCTTAATTTCAATCACTTTAAAAGAATATCCAGATTGGGACAGATTCTTTATTTATCCCTAATTAACAAAGCAAGATAGAATATTTATTAGATTGTTGGTATGGTGGTCTGCTGAAGGGCTGCCATGATCAGTCGACTAACTGTACGAATATAAAAGTTCCTGTCAGAGCCTTTTTGATAATAATAATAATACTGCAAACAAATTTTTTTAGAGCACTTTACAAGCAAATCTCAAAGTGCTAAATAATAGAAATAAAAACAATATTTAAACTTGAAGTGTTTTTTGAAAGACTTCATAAGCAGTGTTCCTGAAAAGTATAGCCAAAGTTTATTGCATATCAGGGAATGAGGCAAATAGTGTGGAGACAGGAAGGCCCAGCAGAGGGCGCCATGGGGAGTCAGCCTCTCTGCCATGGATGAACAGTTGCTAACTGGTGTGGAAACAGAACAAGCTTGTATTACATTACAGAGGTTTTCTGGGACAACGTTAAGTTAGCTTAGGGTGGGAATGGTTGCATTAGATTAATCTAGATTAGGTTGGGTCAGGAGTGGGCTGGATTAGATTACTGTAGGTGGGTGTAGGAGTGGATTGGATCAGATTAGGTTAGATTACTGTAGGTGGGTGTAGGAGTGGATTGGATCAGATTAGGTTAGATTACTGTAGGTGGAGTTAGGAGTGGATTGGATCAGATTAGGTTAGATTACTGTAGGTGGGTGTAGGAGTGGATTGGATCAGATTAGGTTAGATTACTGTAGGTGGAGTTAGGAGTGGGTTGGATCAGATTAGGTTAGATTACTGTAGGTGGAGTTAGGAGTGGGTTGGATCAGATTAGGTTAGATTACTGTAGGTGGGTGTAGGAGTGGATTGGATCAGATTAGGTTAGATTACTGTAGGTGGGTGTAGGAGTGGATTGGATCAGATTAGGTTAGATTACTGTAGGTGGGTGTAGGAGTGGATTGGATCAGATTAGGTTAGATTACTGTAGGTGGAGTTAGGAGTGGGTTGGATCAGATTAGGTTAGATTACTGTAGGTGGAGTTAGGAGTGGGTTGGATCAGATAGGTTAGATTACTGTAGGTGGGTGTAGGAGTGGATTGGATCAGATTAGGTAGATTACTGTAGGTGTTGGATCAGATTAGGTTAGATTACTGTAGGTGGAGTTAGGAGTGGGTTGGATCAGATTAGGTTAGATTACTGTAGGTGGAGTTAGGAGTGGGTTGGATCAGATTAGGTTAGATTACTGTAGGTGGGTGTAGGAGTGGATTGGATCAGATTAGGTTAGATTACTGTAGGTGGGTGTAGGAGTGGATTGGATCAGATTAGGTTAGATTACTGTAGGTGGGTGTAGGAGTGGATTGGATCAGATTAGGTTAGATTACTGTAGGTGGGTGTAGGAGTGGATTGGATCAGATTAGGTTAGATTACTGTAGGTGGAGTTAGGAGTGGGTTGGATCAGATTAGGTTAGATTACTGTAGGTGGAGTTAGGAGTGGGTTGGATCAGATTAGGTTAGATTACTGTAGGTGGGTGTAGGAGTGGATTGGATCAGATTAGGTTAGATTACTGTAGGTGGGTGTAGGAGTGGATTGGATCAGATTAGGTTAGATTACTGTAGGTGGAGTTAGGAGTGGGTTGGATCAGATTAGGTTAGATTACTGTAGGTGGAGTTAGGAGTGGGTTGGGGTATATTTAATTTGCATAGCATTAGATTAGGTTAGCAGAGGCCTAATGAGGGCAGTTTCCAGTGCAGGGGGAACATGCGAACATTGCATGGGGTGTTGTACTTCATATGGGGCCCACCCAGATAATGTTGCTTAGGGTCCTATTGTTGTGTCATCACACCATTGGCTCAAAGCTTTAGCCTAAAGGCAGAAACAGGAGCATGAAGGTGTGAGCAGCTTTCTAAATCACTGGTTCTTCATCAACATGAACTTTCAGAAGGACTGAAGGTCAGACTGTGGCTGCAGAGCAGAAACATCTACATAGACGCTGAAGGTTGTTATTGCTTCATGGGTTTCTGATGTAATCTCAATCTGCTACATGCTGAGGACACACTGCAGATTATGACAGATTAGACTATTTTAACCTGGAACTAGCAGGATGGAGAGTCTATCTGGAATTAAATCATTTTATCTTTATTCTCTAAGCATGGTTGCTGTGAGGGATTGCTGTAGAGCCAATGAGTCGATTCACTTCTATTCAGTGTATTTCTATAGCTCCAATTCACATCATCTAATCTCAGGTGACTTTATAGATCCAGATCATCCAGTCAGATTACTTCAAAGTTTTCTATCTAAGGAAAACCAGCTGATTGCATCGACTCATTGACTCTACAGCAATCCCTCACACTAAGCATGCTTGTAGCGACAGTGGAGAGGAAAAACTCCCTTTGAACAGGAAGAAACCTCCTCCTTCCACATCCCCCCCCCCCCCCCCCCCCCCCCCCCCAGCCACCTACCTCGATGGTCTTGTTCCAGAGGGGCGTGTCTGGGAAGTTGTGCCTGTAGATCTTATTGGCTGTGGTGTTGATGTCCACAGCAGCCACCACCTTGGCAGGAGCTCCGCTTTCTGTTTAGGAAGCATCATCATCATCATCATCATCACATTGATCACTATCATCATCATCATGATCATCATCATCATCATCAGATCATCAGACAGGCGCTTTGTTCATCAGTAACATCTGCAGACCAGTGGAGGGCAGCGTTGCTGATGGATCAAACAGTATGGGGTCTTGGTGAACCTCTGCAGTCAACCTCTATAAAGATGGTCCTATTAGCCACATGCTAACCGCTGTTCCTGCTGATGGTCTTGCTAGCCACACGCTAACCACTGTTCCTGCTGATGGTCCTGCTAGCCACATGCTAACTGCTGTTCCAGATGAAGGTCCTGCTAGCCATACGCTAACCGCTGTTCTTGCTGATGGTCTTGTTAGCCACTTGCTAACCACTGTCGCTGTTGATGGCCATGCTAGCCACATGCTAACCGCTGTTCCTGCTGATGGTCCTGCTATACACACTCTAACAGCTGTTCCTGCTGATGGTCCTGCTAGCCACATGCTAACCGCTATTCCAGCTGAAGGTCCTGCTAGCCACACGCTAACCGCTGTTCTTGCTGATGGTCTTGTTAGCCACTTGCTAACCACTGTCGCTGTTGATGGCCATGCTAGCCACATGCTAACCGCTGTTCCTGCTGATGGTCCTGCTATATACACTCTAACAGCTGTTCCTGCTGATGGTCCTGCTAGCCACACGCTAACCACTGATCCTGCTGAAGGTCCTGCTAGCCACACGCTAACCGCTGTTCTTGCTGATGGTCTTGTTAGCCACTTGCTAACCACTGTCGCTGTTGATGGCCATGGTATACACACGCTAACAGCTGTTCCTGCTGATGGTCCTGCTAGCCACACGCTAACCACTGATCCTGCTGATGGTCCTGCTAGCCATAAGGTAACCACTGTTCCTGCTGATGGTCCAGCTAGTCACACGCTAATCGCTGTTCCTGCTGATGGTCCTGCTAGTCACACGCTAATCGCTGTTCCTGCTGATGGTCCTGCTAGCCACATGCTAATCGCTGTTCCTGCTGATGGTCCTGCTAGCCACATGCTAATCGCTGTTCCTGATGATGGTCCTGCTAGCCACACGCTAACTGCTGTTCCAGATGAATGTCCTGCTAGAAGTATGCTAACTGCTGTTCCTGCTGGTGGTACTGCTATCCACACGCTAACCTATGCTCTTGCTGATGGTCTTGTTAGCCACATGCAAACTACCAGATGCTAACTTCAATCTGAATTAAAGTTCATTTGAAATTGACTCAGTTTATTTACTGTATTGCATTTATTGTGTTAAAATTATGATTTAAAATCTTAGTCCACAAGCATCTCATTCATATTTTCCCCTAAATGGTCACCTTATGGCAGGGGGTCAGCGACCCCTAGAGGGGCCACAGAGGTACTGCACCGTGAACGTTTCGGTTGATTAGACTTTTTTTTATATTCCCCCTGTAATATTTCCAACTAATTAAATGTCTTTAAATCCACATTAACATGAATCCAACAGACTGTAGTAAACAGATAAATGGAGGCAGAAGATGTCTTTCAGTCATCAATGCTCACATTCAGAGACACACATCAAGCTGGACACCGTTTCATTCACAACACCTGTCCCATCAACCAGGAATCAGAAATACTTTAATAATCCCAGGGATGGATTACTTTAGTTACATTACTCCATCTGTAATAGAGTGACTTTAGGACCAGTTTGATAGAACACTATCTAATACTTTATATATAATTAGGGGGTCCCCGCTCCATCTCACCATCAGGTGGCCTGGAAAACATTGAAGACTGCTGGATTATGTTATATGTTCATATTTTGTATTGGCTGCATCTAGAAATATCAAAGATATTTTCAGTTTAAACATATATTAAATAATACAATAAAACCTCCATTAATTTCAATGAAATCATTGTTCTAGGTCAGGGGTCTGCAACCTGCGGCTCTAGAGCCACATACGGCTCTTTGGACCCCCTACAGCGGCTCTTAATAGTGGCTAAAATGTATATGAAGAGCTAAATAATGTACTAGTCTTAAATGTTTTCTTAAACACAAGTTGGAAATAAACACAAGATGGAAAAGAATGACATTAAAAGAACCAGAAGTATGTTTTTAGAAGCTTTTTTCTTTGAATGAGCTTGGAATTTATGTGTTTAATATTATTTTAAAAGCTAAAAATACATAATTTGTTGGCAACTAATTTCCCATATAAGATATAAAAAAAAATAGGCTTTTTTTTAAAGTTTTTTTTTTTCTTCAAGTATTTTGAGGCCCTAAACAACTTTTACTTGGTCGGATTCGGGGCTAAATGGCTCTTTGGATATGAAAGGTTGCAGACCCCTGTTCTAGGTCATCAGATCAATTCAGTTCAGTCTGTCCAATCAGCTGCCTGTAGTGTCTTTAAATGTCCAGCAGGTGTCAGTATTCAGTCAGCAGCGTTTCATCATCATGGCACCACAACCTCTGAAATAAAACCAGAAGCTGGAGGTGGCCTCTGATTGGTCAGACTGGGATGGTGGAAGAAAAAGACCCAGGTGATCAGAAACTGCTCTGGTCCTGGTTGGGTTCTGGTGGACCTCTATGGATCTGAGATGGGGATCATTTATATTCTAAAATTTATTGATCATTAATAAATGATCTTGGTGTTATTTTTGATCAGGACCTGTCATTTAAATCCCAGATCAAAGATGTTTCTAGAATTTCCTTCTTTCATCTGAGGAATATTGCAAAAATGAGCAATCTCCTGTCCAGGGGTGATGCTGAGAAACTAGTCCATGCATTTGTTACTTCAAGGCTGGACTATTGTAATTCTTTACTATCAGGAAGTCCACAAACTGTAGTTAAAAGCCTTCAGCTGATCCAAAATGCTGCAGCCAGAGTTCTGATGAAAATGAAAAAGAGAGATCATATCTCTCCTATCCTGGCTTCTCTTCATTGGCTTCCTGTTAAATCCAGAATAGAATTTAAAATCCTCCTTCTCACATATAAAGCCTTAAATGGCCAAGCTCCATCTGATATCAGAGATCTGATTGTTCCTTATGTTCCTAACAGAGCACTTCGCTCTCAATCTGCAGGTTTACTAGTGGTTCCTAGAATTTCTAAAAGTAGAATGGGAGGCAGATCTTTTAGTTCTCAGGCTCCTCTCCTGTGGAACCAACTACCAGTTTTAGTCCGTGAGGCAGACACCCTGTCTACTTTTAAGGCTAGGCTTAAAACTTTCCTTTTTGATAAAGCTTCTAGTTAGAGTGGCTCAGGTTATCCTGAGCTATCTCGATAGTTCTGCTGCTATAGGCTTAGACTGCTGGAGGACATAGGGACCCCCATTTCATCATTCTGCTTCATTCTATCTCTATTCTCCCACTCTGCAGAATCTGTTAGTTCAATCTCTAACGTTCTGCTCTCTCTGCTTTTTCTCTTTTTTAACTCTTCCATTCTTCTTGGTTTTCTCTACTTTCCTTCTTCCATCCACCAAGCATCATCCTCTCCCTCTGCTGTTTACCTGCAGCTCCCACACCGGGGGGGGGGCTGTGTTTACCCGCTTCACGTGGAAGCAAACCCCGGAAGTGTCTCTGCCTGCAGCAGTCTGACCGAGCAGCTGATTAAACATCTTAGCGGAGAACAGATCCTGTCCTCCGGGTTTACCTTTCAGGGCGTAGTGCATGCCTCCGATCCCGCTGTAGAGCTCCAGCACCCGGAGAGGCTGCATGGCGGCGGACACCTGGAGGCTGATAACCAGCCCGAGGGCGCAGCAGCGCCACCTAGCGGACCGGAGGGCCTGAACCCAACCTCTCTGCAGACCCCAGCGGTGAAAAATACATTGGATAAAAGCTTTTATGTCACAGAAAGAATCTATCTGGTTCCATGACCCAAAATATATTTTTAATAAAGTCGGAAAGTTGGATTTGGTGCTGAAATGTGATGATGAAATTAGGAAACTGTCTGTCCAGTGATCTGAATTTCATTAACAGATATTAAACTTTTATTATTTGACATAATTTACTCCACATGGCTCCACTGGGGAACAACAGAACTATAACGATAAACAGGAAAACAATATTTAACGTTGAAGTTTGGTTTGAAAACAAGGTGATCTTTGTTACTGATCTAAGGGATGATCGTGGACATTTCCTACATTTTAACACCTTTAGAGAAATATTTGGTATTAACTGTTTGACACAGAAATGAACAAAGTCTGCAGAATAAAAGCTGCTGCTCTGCTGCACCTCTCTCTCTCTCTCAGTCAAATAGTCTTTCCAGAACTAAAAAAATTGAGCAATTGCTTATTAGAGATAGAAAATGTAACAATCATTTAACAGGGACAGCATTTAAATGTAAAACCTTTCATTGTTTCACTGGAATGACAAAAATTATAATAATTAATCTTTCAGGTAACATAGAAAAATTTTTTTAAATATTTAACATTCCAATTCCACCAAAGGTAAAAGAAATATAATCTAAAATGATGAATAGTTTTTATCCAACAGCAGAAACTCTGAGAACAGAATTGGATTTGAGGAGGATGCCTGAAACTATGGAACATTCTTCTATTGTTGTCGGGTCACAGGTCGCCTCTGGCAGAACCTGCATATTTGGTTAAGTAATGAAATAGATGATCTAATACTTTTTGAGATAAATCAAACATTAACATACAAGAATGACATTGTGAAGGATTTATCCGACACGCTCCATATGGTCATGAATTTGGGAAGATATATCGATGTATGTAAATGGAAAAATCTAAAACCTTCATTTATACGTTTTAAAAACTAAAAATCTTCTATTGGTCTTTATCGCTGTTAGCCGACAAATATGGACATAAACAGAAAGACATGATGGGTTTCCTGACCCGACAAAATGCTGAAGTGAACAAGATGCCAGGAGTGAGTTTGTCTCTTTTAATTGATTTAAGTTTTGATGTTTCCATTGGTTGTCATAACGCTGCCTGATTGATTGTTTATTTCTGTTTCTCTGCACTAGTTAAGCTGATCTTCTGTATATGAATGTTATTTTCTCTTTTTTTTGTAAAAATGAAAAGTTGAGATTCTTACTTGAAAATATAAATAAATATTTTTTTGTTAAATAAAAAAAAAAAGATCTTGAGGCTGATAAGGAGCCTGGAGGCGCAGTAGCGCCACCTACATGGACAGGCTTTAGAATAAGATGGAAACATTGACAGCAGTAATAATCATGTTAGTCTCAGTGGATCCTGATAAATGAGTGTTTATAGAAATAAAACCTGAAGATTGACTCTTTAAATCCATCCTACATGGGATGAATGTGAAGGTTGAATCTGTTTGCACTGGATCTACAGCTGAACCATCACCATCTCAAAGCAAAGATCTTTCAGACTTAGATCTCATCACTATTAGGAGCAACTTACCGGAACCGGAAGCTGGAGTCCCCTCTCCAATATGGCGGCCAGGTTCACGCACATGAAAGCTTCCGGTGCCGTGTTGCGTCCGCAGCCGGGCGGCGCAGAGGAAGAAAGATTTCCTAATAAGGACTGGGCGCTCCTTCCTCTGGAAACACTTCCGGGTGGGCGGCGCGTCAGAGAAAACTTCCAAACAGATTATTCCTGTTTTTCCTCCTCGGTCAGCCTCTGGGCTCCTTTTCTCTGCTTCCTCTCATCCTCCGTCGCTCCGCTAACGTCCGCGTGCCTTTCTGCTCCATAGTTCCTGAACCATGTCCAAGTCTCTGAAGAAGATCGTGGAGGAAAGTCGGGACAAGAACCTTCCAGAGGTGGAAATGTGCGACAGAGGGATTTCTAACATGCTGGACATCCCGGGGCTGTGTAAGATAAACGATCTGTGATTCCTCAGGGAGGGGGGAGGAGGGGGTCTATGTAGATGGGGGACTATGGAGGCTGAGGTCCAAGTTGTTCATGAAGCCGGAGGTCCATGGAGGTGGGTGTCTATGTCCATGGAGGTCTATGTCCATGGAGGTCTGTATCCATGGAGGTGGTTGTCTATGTCCATGGAGGTCTATGTCCATGGAGGTCTGTATCCATGGAGGTGGTTGTCTATGTCCATGGAGGTCTATGTCCATGGAGGTGGTTGAATATGTCCATGGAGGTCTATGTCCATGGAGGTCTATGTCCATGGAGGTCTGTATCCATGGAGGTGGTTGTCTATGTCCATGGAGGTCTATGTCCATGGAGGTCTGTATCCATGGAGGTGGTTGTCTATGTCCATGGAGGTCTATGTCCATGAAGGCTGGGTCTATGTCCATGAAGGCTGGGTCTATGTCCATGGAGGTGGGGGTCTATGTCAATGGAGGTCTATGTCCATGGAGGTGGGGGTCTATGTCAATGGAGGTCTATGTCCATGAAGGCTGGGTCTATGTCCATGGAGGTGGGGGTCTACCACCTTCATGAAGGCTGGAGGTCCAAGGAGATGGGTGTCTATGTCCATAGAGGTCTATATCAATGGAAGTCTATGTCCATGGAGGCTGGGTCTATGTCCATGGAGGTGGGGGTCTACCACCTTCATGAAGGCTGGAGGTCCAAGGAGATTGGAGTCTATGTCCATAGAGGTCTATGTCCATGGAGGTCTATGTCCATGGAGGTGGGGGGTGTATCTCCATGGAGGTCTATGTCCATAGAGGTCTATATCCATGGAGGTCTATATTCCATGGAGGTGGGGGGTGTATCTCCATGGAGGTCTATGTCCATAGAGGTCTATATCCATGGAGGTCTATGTCCATGGAGGTGGGGGTGTATCTCCATGGAGGTCTATGTCCATAGAGGTCTATATCCATGGAGGTCTATATTCCATGGAGGTGGGGGGTGTATCTCCATGGAGGTCTATCTCCATAGAGGTCTATATCCATGGAGGTCTATGTCCATGAAGGTCTGTTTCCATGGAGGTGGGGGTGTATCTCCATGGGGGCCTATGACCATGGAAGTGGGGGTCTATGTCCATGAAGGTCTATATCCATGGAGGTGAGGGTCTATGTCCATGGAGGTCTATATCCATGGAGGTGAGGGTCTATGTCCATGGAGGTCTATATCCCATGGAGGTGAGGGTCTATGTCCATGTAGGTCTATATCCCATGGAGGTGAGGGTCTATGTCCATGTAGGTCTATATCCCATGGAGGTGAGGGTCTATGTCCATGGAGGTCTATATCCATGGAGGTGCGGGTGTATCTTCATGGAGGTCTATTTCCATGGAGGTGGGGGTGTATCTCCATGGATTCCTATGTACATGGAAGTGTGGGTCTATGTCCATGGACATCTACATCCATGGAGGTGTGGGTCTATGTCCATGAAGGTCTATGTCCATGGAAGTCTATATCCATGGAGGTGGGGGTGTATCTTCATGGAGGTCTATATCCATGGAGCTGGGTGTCTATGTCCATGCAGGTCTATGTCCATGGAGGCTGGGTCTATGTCCATGGAGGTGGGGGTCTACCATCTTCATGAAGGCTGTAGGTCCAAGGAGGTGGGTGTCTTTCTATGTTCATAGAGGCCTATATCCATGGAGGTCTATGTCCGTTGAGGTGGGGGTGTATCTCCATGGAGATCTATGTCCATGGAGGTCTATGTCCATGGAGGTCTATATCCATGGAGGTCTATGTCCGTTGAGGTGGGGGTGTATCTCCATGGAGATCTATGTCCATGGAGGTCTATGTCCATGGAGGTCTATATTCATGGAGGTGGGGGTCTTTGTCCATGGTGGTCTATGTCCATGGAGGTGGGGGTGTATCTCCATGGAGGTGGGGGTCTATGTCCATGGAGGTCTTTGTCCATGGAGGCTGGGTCTATGTCCATGGAGGTGGGGGTCTATGTCCATGGATTTTGGGTTCTATGTCCACGGAGGTGGGGGTCTATGTCTATGGAGGTGGGGGTCTATGTCCATGGATTTTGGGTTCTATGTCCATGGAGGTGGGAGTCTATGTCTATGGAGGTGGGGGTCTACCACTTTCATGGAGGTGGGGGTCTATGTCCGTGGATTTTGGGTTCTATGTCCATGGAGGTGGGAGTCTATGTCCATGGAGGTGGGAGTCTATGTCCATGGAGGTGGGAGTCTATGTCCATGGATTTTGGGTTCTATGTCCATGGAGGTGGGAGTCTATGTCTATGGAGGTGGGGGTCTACCACTTTCATGGAGGTGGGGGTCTATGTCCATGGATTTTGGGTTCTATGTCCATGGAGGTGGGAGTCTATGTCTATGGAGATGGGGGTCTACCACTTTCATGGAGGCTGGAGGTCCACGTTGTTAATGAAGCTGGAGGTCCATGGAGGTGGAGGTCTTCTGCTGCTGAAATCTGAAGGTGTTGGAGTTCTTCTTCATGTCTCTCTGTCTGTGTCTGATTTCAGTCACGCTGTCCCACATCACCCAGCTGGTCCTCAGCCACAACAAGCTGACAGGTAAGAAGCTCCTGACCTTCAGCCTGATGTTTCCTTAGATGGACGAAGGTCCATGAAGGTCTTTCTCCATCTGATGTTTCCTTAGATGGACGAAGGTCCATGAAGGTCTTTCTCCATCTGATGTTTCCTTAGATGGACGAAGGTCCATGAAGGTCTTTCTCCATCTGATGTTTCCTTAGATGGACGAAGGTCCATGAAGGTCTTTCTCCATCTGATGTTTCCTTAGATGGACGAAGGTCCATGAAGGTCTTTCTCCATCTGATGTTTCCTTAGATGGATGAAGGTCCATGAAGGTCTTTCTCCATATGATGTTTCCTTAGATGGATGAAGGTCCATGAAGGTCTTTCTCCATATGATGTTTCCTTGGATGGATGAAGGTCCATGAAGGTCTTTCTCCATCTGATGTTTCCTTAGATGGACGAAGGTCCATGAAGGTCTTTCTCCATATGATGTTTCCTTGGATGGATGAAGGTCCATGAAGGTCTTTCTCCATCTGATGTTTCCTTAGATGGATGAAGGTCCATGAAGGTCTTTCTCCATATGATGTTTCCTTGGATGGATGAAGGTCCATGAAGGTCTTTCTCCATCTGATGTTTCCTTAGATGGACGAAGGTCCATGAAGGTCTTTCTCCATCTGATGTTTCCTTAGATGGACGAAGGTCCATGAAGGTCTTTCTCCATCTGATGTTTCCTTAGATGGACGAAGGTCCATGAAGGTCTTTCTCCATCTGATGTTTCCTTAGATGGACGAAGGTCCATGAAGGTCTTTCTCCATCTGATGTTTCCTTGGATGGATGAAGGTCCATTAAGGTCTTTCTCAATCTCATTTTTCCAGCTGTTCCTCCAAACATCTCAGAGCTGAAGAATCTGGAGGTTCTCAACCTTTTCAACAACCAGATTGAAGAGCTGCCCACCCAGATCAGCAGCCTGCAGAAGCTCAAGCACCTCAACCTAGGGTACGTGATGTCTCCTTCCCCCCCCCCCCCCCCCCCCCCCCCCCTCCTCCTTCCTTTCCTTCCTTCCTTCCTTCCTTCTCGGCTTCCTCAACTCAACTCAACTCTACTTTATTTATAAAGCGCTTTCAGTCAGCCAAAGCTAAAATCAAAGTGCTGTACAGGTCATTTGAGCAGATTATAAAACACAATTATCACCACAACACAAGACAAAAATAAGAAAAAAACAAAACCAAGTAAGAGAAAAGGTAAAGACAGAAACAGCCAAAGGCTGTTCCTTCCCTCGTTCCTTTCTTCTCCGCTTCCTTCCTTCCTTCCTGCCCCCCCCCCACTTCCTTCCTCCTTCCTTCATCCTTCCTTCCTTCTTGGCTTCCTTCATCCTTCCTTCCTTCTTGGCTTCCTTCATTCCTTCCTTCTTGGCTTCCTTCCTTCCTTCCTTCCTGCCTCTCTCCCTTCCTTCCTTCCTGCCTCCCCCCCCACTTCCTTCCTTCCTTCGTCCTTCCTTTTTGGCTTCCTTCATTCCTTCCTTCCTTCCTTCCTTCCTTCCTGCCTCTCTCCCTTCCTTCCTATCTTCCTGCCTGCCTCTCTTCCCTGCTTCCTTCCTTCCTTCCTTCCTTCTTGGCTTCCTTCCTTCTTTACTTCCTTCCTTCGTTCCTTCCTTCGTTCCTTCCTTCTTCGCTTCCTTCCTTCCTTCCTGGCTCTCTCCCTCCCCCCCCCACCCCCCCCCCCCCCCATCCTTCCTTCCTTTCTTCTTCACTTACTTCCTTCCTTCCCTCTTCGCTTCCTTACTTCCTTCCTTCCTTCCCTCTTCGCTTCCTTTTGAAGGCTTTTGAAGGCTCCTATCCAGCTAAAGGTTTGAGAAACAGATCAAACCAATGATGATGATGATGATGATGATGATGATGGCTGTTTTTTCTTAATGCTAACCAGCCGCTGTTGTTTGCTCTGTGGTTCCAGGATGAACCGTCTCAGCGGTTTACCCAGAGGGTTTGGGTCTCTTCCTGCTCTGGAGGTCTTGGATCTCACCTACAACAACCTGAACAAAGACTCACTGCCTGGAAACTTCTTCTACCTGAGTGAGCTTCACCAACCCGCCATGGGGCACGCCTTGGGCTGTTTCTGTCTTTACCTTTTCTCTTCTACCTGAGTGAGCTTCAACCATAACACCATGGGGCACGCCTTGGGCTGTTTCTGTCTTTACCTTTTCTCTTCTACCTGAGTGAGCTTCACCCATAGCACCATGGGGCACGCCTTGGGCTGTTTCTGTCTTTACCTTTTCTCTTCTACCTGAGGGAGCTTCACCCATAGCACCATGGGGCACGCCTTGGGCTGTTTCTGTCTTTACCTTTTCTCTTCTACCTGAGGGAGCTTCAACCATAACACCATGGGGCACGCCTTGGGCTGTTTCTGTCTTTACCTTTTCTCTTCTACCTGAGTGAGCTTCACCCATAACACCATGGGGCACGCCTTGGGCTGTTTCTGTCTTTACCTTTTCTCTTCTACCTGAGTGAGCTTCACCCATAACACCATGGGGCACGCCTTGGGCTGTTTCTGTCTTTACCTTTTCTCTTCTACCTGAGGGAGCTTCAACCATAACACCATGGGGCATGCCTTGGGCTGTTTCTGTCTTTACCTTTTCTCTTCTACCTGAGGGAGCTTCAACCATAACACCATGGGGCACGCCTTGGGCTGTTTCTGTCTTTACCTTTTCTCTTCTACCTGAGGGAGCTTCAACCATAACACCATGGGGTACGCCTTGGGCTGTTTCTGTCTTTACCTTTTCTCTTCTACCTGAGGGAGCTTCACCAACACGCCATGGGGCACGCCTTGGGCTGTTTCTGTCTTTACGTTTTCTCTTCTACCTGAGGGAGCTTCACCAACACACCATGGGGCACGCCTTGGGCTGTTTCTGTCTTTACCTTTTCTCTTCTACCTGAGGGAGCTTCACCAACACACCATGGGGCACGCCTTGGGCTGTTTCTGTCTTTACCTTTTCTCTTCTACCTGAGGGAGCTTCACCAACACACCATGGGGCACGCCTTGGGCTGTTTCTGTCTTTACGTTTTCTCTTCTACCTGAGGGAGCTTCACCAACACACCATGGGGCACGCCTTGGGCTGTTTCTGTCTTTACGTTTTCTCTTCTACCTGAGGGAGCTTCACCAACACACCATGGGGCACGCCTTGGGCTGTTTCTGTCTTTACCTTTTCTCTTCTACCTGAGGGAGCTTCAACCATAACAGCATGGGGCACGCCTTGGGCTGTTTCTGTCTTTACCTTTTCTCTTCTACCTGAGGGAGCTTCAACGATAACACCATGGGGCACGCCTTGGGCTGTTTCTGTCTTTACCTTTTCTCTTCTACCTGAGGGAGCTTCAACCATAACACCATGGGGCACGCCTTGGGCTGTTTCTGTCTTTACCTTTTCTCTTCTACCTGAGGGAGCTTCAACCATAACACCATGGGGCACGCCTTGGGCTGTTTCTGTCTTTACCTTTTCTCTTATACCTGAGGGAGCTTCACCAACACACCATGGGGCATGCCTTGGGCTGTTTCTGTATTTATCTTTTGTCTTCTACCTGCTGCACCTGAAACTGTTCCTCTTTTCTCCTGGTTGTGGTTAAGGAGTTTTGATGGCAGTGGTCCTGGGTTGTTCTTCAGGTTGATCAGCTTTGGGCTCTGCTGCTGAAGCAGGGAGAAGATTCAGTGGAAGAAAAAACATTTTGGCAATCCTCCACGTTTACCCAGGAGAGAAAAACTGGATGTGATTTATTTCAGACAGCAGCTGATGAACCTGCTGCTGACCTTTGACCTTAGGCTAATGAAGACCAGTCCGAGCTTCTGGAGCTTTTTCTCCGGAGCCTGTCCAGATTGATCTGTGTAGATCAGTGTAGCTGATGCCTGGTTAGCAATCAGCAGCCTCTCTGAGGACGGTTTCTGGTTGGAGGTTCTAGGAAAATCAGCACCTTTAAACCTGGGCTGCTTTAACTTCTGCTGGGTCCAATTGGACCGGCATCCATTGGATGGGCTTCTCTTGTCTTGAACTGGGAACTAAAGCTGTCTCTGGGAATTTCCCCTTGATAATGGGAGGCGGCTTTGATCCTGCAGAACCAGAACCAGCCAGAAATATATCCAGTCTGAACCAAACAGCCAGAACCAACCAGACAGAACTATCCAGAAATATACAGTCAGAACCAGTCAGAACCAAGCAGCCAGAAATATATCCAGTTAGAACCTGTCAGAACCAACCTGCCTGAATGCAACCAGAACCAGCCAGAAATATCCAGTCAGAACTAGCCAAAATAAACCATTCAGAACTAGCCAGATTAAACCAGTCAGAATTAGTCAGAATCATTCAGAACAAACTAGTCAGAACCAACCAGCACGAAACAGTCAGAACCAACCGGCCAGAACCAGCCACCCAAAAATGTGCAGTCAGAACCAGCCAAAAATATCAAGTCAGAAGCAGCCAGAACCAACCAGAACAACTCAGAACCAGAATCAGTCAAAACAAACCAACAAGAATCAACCAGAACAATCCAGTCGGAACCAGTCAGATCCAACCAGCAAGAATCAATCAGAACCAGCCAGGCAGAACCAGTCAGAACCGTTCAGAACTTACCAGTCAGAACAAACCAGTCAGAATGAACCAGAACAAACCAGAATCATTCAGTCAGAACCAGTCAGATCCAACCAGCAAGAACCAGTCAGAACCAGCCAACCAGAACCAGTCAGAATCAACCAGCCAGAACCAGCCAGTCAGAACAAACCAACCAGAACCAGTCAGAACCATTTAGAGCTAACCAGTCAGAACCAGCCAGCCAGAAACTGTCAGAACCAGTGAGCCAGAAGCAACCAGCCGGAACCAGTCAAAACGAACCGGCCATAACCAGCCTGCCAGACCCAGTCAGAACCAACCAACCAGAACCAGTCAGAACCAGCGAGCCAGAACCAGTCAAAACCAAACAGCCAGAACCAACCAGCCTGAATCAATCAGAACCAGACAACCAAAGCCAGTCAGAACCAGCCAGAACCAGCCAGAACCAGTCAGAACCAGTCAGTCATAACCAGTCAAAACCGACCAGCCAGAACCAGCCAAAATAAGCCAGCCAGAACCAGTCAGAATCAGCGAGCCAGAACCAGTCAAAGCCAACCAGTCAGAACCAATCAGAACCATCTAGAACCAACCCAAACCAGTTAGAACAATCCACATCCAGTCGGAATTGACCAGACCCAGGATACAGCCTGTCTGGGTGTAACGTTGTCATCAGACACTAGATGGCAGCAGAAGCCAGTAGAACCTCTCCCTGCTGCATCGGTTCAGATAGGAGACAAACTGATCAGCAGCTGTAGGCCTGTACCAGAGCTAGAACTACTGATACTGGTACCAGACCTAGAACCAATGATACTAGTACCAGACCTAGAACCACTGATACTGGTACCAGACCTAGAACCACTAATACTGGTACCAGACCTGGAACCAATGATACTAGTACCAGACCTAGAACCAATGATACTGGTAACAGACCTAGAACCACTGATACTGGTACCAGACCTAGAACCACTGATACTGGTACCAGACCTGGAACCAATGATACTAGTACCAGACCTAGAACCAATGATACTGGTAACAGACCTAGAACCTCTGATACTGGTACCAGACTTAGAACCAATGATACTGGTAACAGACCTAGAACCACTGATACTGGTACCAGACCTAGATACCAATACTGATACTGGTATCACTCAGACCTAGAACACACTCAGCGCTCTCGCTCAGCGAGCTAACTCGTCAACCCAATGCGAAACCACCATTGATATAGTACCAGCCTAGCTCTCTCAATGATACTGAGTAACAGACCTAGAACCACTGATTCTGGTACCAGACTAGAAACCACTGATACTGTTACCAGACCTGGGAGACCAATGATACTAGTACCAGACCTAGAACCAATGATATGGTAACAGACCTAGAACCTCTGATACTGGTACCAGACTTAGAACCAGCCCTTCTGTTTCTAGATTTAGCCACCATGAGAAGTCCTTCTAACTCACCCATCTGTGCTTTGTGTCTCCCAGCCACCCTCAGAGCGCTGTATCTCAGTGACAACGACTTTGAGGATCTTCCTGCTGACATCGAGAAGCTGACAAAGCTGCAGATGATAGGGGGAGGTGCATTTAAAAGACACCAGACAACATATCTGGGAGGTGGAGGCGTACGACTCTCCAGCTGCTGATCGAGGTTCTTTGTATTCGCTCACCTACTCACTCTCGAACTATAGAAAGTAGTTCAGCCAGCTGTATTTTCCATTTTGACGGATGCTGCCTGCCGTCCTCACTAGAAATATAGAAAGTAGATCAGACAGTGCTGTCCAGATGCAAGCCACCAGATGCCCTCGCAATGCGCTCCCTCCCCCTCTTTGTCTGGAGCAGAGAGATTTATGTAGGTAATATACGCTTCTTCCGCGTCCTGCTCCTCCAGACAGCTGATCCAGACGCCTGCGGCCACTGTAGCGCGAAGAAATCGCAGAGCATTTGTTTTGAGATCTAGTGCACTTGAACTATAGAAAGTAGATCAGACAGCTGATCCAGACGCTGCTGCCTGCGTCCTCACTAGAACTATAGAAAGTAGATCAGACAGCTGATCCAGACGCTGCTGCCTGCGTCCTCACTAGAACTATAGAAAGTAGATCAGACAGCTGATCCAGACGCTGCTGCCTGCGTCCTCACTAGAACTATAGAAAGTAGATCAGACAGCTGATCCAGACGCTGCTGCCTGCGTCCTCACTAGAACTATAGAAAGTAGATCAGACAGCTGATCCAGACGCTGCTGCCTGCGTCCTCACTAGAACTATAGAAAGTAGATCAGACAGCTGATCCAGACGCTGCTGCCTGCGTCCTCACTAGAACTATAGAAAGTAGATCAGACAGCTGATCCAGACGCTGCTGCCTGCGTCCTCACTAGAACTATAGAAAGTAGATCAGACAGCTGATCCAGACGCTGCTGCCTGCGTCCTCACTAGAACTATAGAAAGTAGATCAGACAGCTGATCCAGACGCTGCTGCCTGCGTCCTCACTAGAACTATAGAAAGTAGATCAGACAGCTGATCCAGACGCTGCTGCCTGCGTCCTCACTAGAACTATAGAAAGTAGATCAGACAGCTGATCCAGACGCTGCTGCCTGCGTCCTCACTAGAACTATAGAAAGTAGATCAGACAGCTGATCCAGACGCTGCTGCCTGCGTCCTCACTAGAACTATAGAAAGTAGATCAGACAGCTGATCCAGACGCTGCTGCCTGCGTCCTCACTAGAACTATAGAAAGTAGATCAGACAGCTGATCCAGACGCTGCTGCCTGCGTCCTCACTAGAACTATAGAAAGTAGATCAGACAGCTGATCCAGACGCTGCTGCCTGCGTCCTCACTAGAACTATAGAAAGTAGATCAGACAGCTGATCCAGACGCTGCTGCCTGCGTCCTCACTAGAACTATAGAAAGTAGATCAGACAGCTGATCCAGACGCTGCTGCCTGCGTCCTCACTAGAACTATAGAAAGTAGATCAGACAGCTGATCCAGACGCTGCTGCCTGCGTCCTCACTAGAACTATAGAAAGTAGATCAGACAGCTGATCCAGACGCTGCTGCCTGCGTCCTCACTAGAACTATAGAAAGTAGATCAGACAGCTGATCCAGACGCTGCTGCCTGCGTCCTCACTAGAACTATAGAAAGTAGATCAGACAGCTGATCCAGACGCTGCTGCCTGCGTCCTCACTAGAACTATAGAAAGTAGATCAGACAGCTGATCCAGACGCTGCTGCCTGCGTCCTCACTAGAACTATAGAAAGTAGATCAGACAGCTGATCCAGACGCTGCTGCCTGCGTCCTCACTAGAACTATAGAAAGTAGATCAGACAGCTGATCCAGACGCTGCTGCCTGCGTCCTCACTAGAACTATAGAAAGTAGATCAGACAGCTGATCCAGACGCTGCTGCCTGCGTCCTCACTAGAACTATAGAAAGTAGATCAGACAGCTGATCCAGACGCTGCTGCCTGCGTCCTCACTAGAACTATAGAAAGTAGATCAGACAGCTGATCCAGACGCTGCTGCCTGCGTCCTCACTAGAACTATAGAAAGTAGATCAGACAGCTGATCCAGACGCTGCTGCCTGCGTCCTCACTAGAACTATAGAAAGTAGATCAGACAGCTGATCCAGACGCTGCTGCCTGCGTCCTCACTAGAACTATAGAAAGTAGATCAGACAGCTGATCCAGACGCTGCTGCCTGCGTCCTCACTAGAACTATAGAAAGTAGATCAGACAGCTGATCCAGACGCTGCTGCCTGCGTCCTCACTAGAACTATAGAAAGTAGATCAGACAGCTGATCCAGACGCTGCTGCCTGCGTCCTCACTAGAACTATAGAAAGTAGATCAGACAGCTGATCCAGACGCTGCTGCCTGCGTCCTCACTAGAACTATAGAAAGTAGATCAGACAGCTGATCCAGACGCTGCTGCCTGCGTCCTCACTAGAACTATAGAAAGTAGATCAGACAGCTGATCCAGACGCTGCTGCCTGCGTCCTCACTAGAACTATAGAAAGTAGATCAGACAGCTGATCCAGACGCTGCTGCCTGCGTCCTCACTAGAACTATAGAAAGTAGATCAGACAGCTGATCCAGACGCTGCTGCCTGCGTCCTCACTAGAACTATAGAAAGTAGATCAGACAGCTGATCCAGACGCTGCTGCCTGCGTCCTCACTAGAACTATAGAAAGTAGATCAGACAGCTGATCCAGACGCTGCTGCCTGCGTCCTCACTAGAACTATAGAAAGTAGATCAGACAGCTGATCCAGACGCTGCTGCCTGCGTCCTCACTAGAACTATAGAAAGTAGATCAGACAGCTGATCCAGACGCTGCTGCCTGCGTCCTCACTAGAACTATAGAAAGTAGATCAGACAGCTGATCCAGACGCTGCTGCCTGCGTCCTCACTAGAACTATAGAAAGTAGATCAGACAGCTGATCCAGACGCTGCTGCCTGCGTCCTCACTAGAACTATAGAAAGTAGATCAGACAGCTGATCCAGACGCTGCTGCCTGCGTCCTCACTAGAACTATAGAAAGTAGATCAGACAGCTGATCCAGACGCTGCTGCCTGCGTCCTCACTAGAACTATAGAAAGTAGATCAGACAGCTGATCCAGACGCTGCTGCCTGCGTCCTCACTAGAACTATAGAAAGTAGATCAGACAGCTGATCCAGACGCTGCTGCCTGCGTCCTCACTAGAACTATAGAAAGTAGATCAGACAGCTGATCCAGACGCTGCTGCCTGCGTCCTCACTAGAACTATAGAAAGTAGATCAGACAGCTGATCCAGACGCTGCTGCCTGCGTCCTCACTAGAACTATAGAAAGTAGATCAGACAGCTGATCCAGACGCTGCTGCCTGCGTCCTCACTAGAACTATAGAAAGTAGATCAGACAGCTGATCCAGACGCTGCTGCCTGCGTCCTCACTAGAACTATAGAAAGTAGATCAGACAGCTGATCCAGACGCTGCTGCCTGCGTCCTCACTAGAACTATAGAAAGTAGATCAGACAGCTGATCCAGACGCTGCTGCCTGCGTCCTCACTAGAACTATAGAAAGTAGATCAGACAGCTGATCCAGACGCTGCTGCCTGCGTCCTCACTAGAACTATAGAAAGTAGATCAGACAGCTGATCCAGACGCTGCTGCCTGCGTCCTCACTAGAACTATAGAAAGTAGATCAGACAGCTGATCCAGACGCTGCTGCCTGCGTCCTCACTAGAACTATAGAAAGTAGATCAGACAGCTGATCCAGACGCTGCTGCCTGCGTCCTCACTAGAACTATAGAAAGTAGATCAGACAGCTGATCCAGACGCTGCTGCCTGCGTCCTCACTAGAACTATAGAAAGTAGATCAGACAGCTGATCCAGACGCTGCTGCCTGCGTCCTCACTAGAACTATAGAAAGTAGATCAGACAGCTGATCCAGACGCTGCTGCCTGCGTCCTCACTAGAACTATAGAAAGTAGATCAGACAGCTGATCCAGACGCTGCTGCCTGCGTCCTCACTAGAACTATAGAAAGTAGATCAGACAGCTGATCCAGACGCTGCTGCCTGCGTCCTCACTAGAACTATAGAAAGTAGATCAGACAGCTGATCCAGACGCTGCTGCCTGCGTCCTCACTAGAACTATAGAAAGTAGATCAGACAGCTGATCCAGACGCTGCTGCCTGCGTCCTCACTAGAACTATAGAAAGTAGATCAGACAGCTGATCCAGACGCTGCTGCCTGCGTCCTCACTAGAACTATAGAAAGTAGATCAGACAGCTGATCCAGACGCTGCTGCCTGCGTCCTCACTAGAACTATAGAAAGTAGATCAGACAGCTGATCCAGACGCTGCTGCCTGCGTCCTCACTAGAACTATAGAAAGTAGATCAGACAGCTGATCCAGACGCTGCTGCCTGCGTCCTCACTAGAACTATAGAAAGTAGATCAGACAGCTGATCCAGACGCTGCTGCCTGCGTCCTCACTAGAACTATAGAAAGTAGATCAGACAGCTGATCCAGACGCTGCTGCCTGCGTCCTCACTAGAACTATAGAAAGTAGATCAGACAGCTGATCCAGACGCTGCTGCCTGCGTCCTCACTAGAACTATAGAAAGTAGATCAGACAGCTGATCCAGACGCTGCTGCCTGCGTCCTCACTAGAACTATAGAAAGTAGATCAGACAGCTGATCCAGACGCTGCTGCCTGCGTCCTCACTAGAACTATAGAAAGTAGATCAGACAGCTGATCCAGACGCTGCTGCCTGCGTCCTCACTAGAACTATAGAAAGTAGATCAGACAGCTGATCCAGACGCTGCTGCCTGCGTCCTCACTAGAACTATAGAAAGTAGATCAGACAGCTGATCCAGACGCTGCTGCCTGCGTCCTCACTAGAACTATAGAAAGTAGATCAGACAGCTGATCCAGACGCTGCTGCCTGCGTCCTCACTAGAACTATAGAAAGTAGATCAGACAGCTGATCCAGACGCTGCTGCCTGCGTCCTCACTAGAACTATAGAAAGTAGATCAGACAGCTGATCCAGACGCTGCTGCCTGCGTCCTCACTAGAACTATAGAAAGTAGATCAG